TACTTTGACTTTTTCTCTCCTTTTATATTCCTTTTATTTGGTCCTCTTGTCTTTTTTCTTTTTTGTTTTAATACTTTTTTTCTACTTTTCTTTGCAGTTTTATTCATTTATTTATTTATGAGTGCTCTTGTCTGCAAGTATGCCTGCACGGCACCAGATCCCATTACAGGTGATTGTGAGCCACCATGTGGTTGCTGGGAATTGAACTCAGGACCTCAGGAAGAACAGCCAGTGCTCTTAACCACTGAGCCATCTCACCAGCCCCTGTTTATGGGTGGTTTGTCTATGCATCATGTATATACGTGATGCCTGTGGAGCTTAGAAGAGGGCATTAGATCTTCTGGATCTGGAGTTAAAAGAGGTGGGGACTGGTTGTGGATCCTTTTAGAAGAGCAGCCAGTGCATTTAACCACTGAGCCCCTGGTTCTCCTGTCATATTGCCCTAGCTACGAATTCCATCTCTGTATTGAATAGAAGTGTCTTATTCCTGATTTTATTGTAAATACTTTGAGGGTTTCCCCCATTTAATGTTGGTTATAGGTGTGTATTATATAGCCTGTATTATGTTGAGATAGATTCTTTTTATTCCAGTTATCTTCAGGACTTTTAGAATGAAGGGATGTTGAAATTTGTCAAAAGCCCTTTCTGTATCTCTTTTGATGGCCATATGATTTCTGTCCTTTAATCCAGTTAATAACATTTACTGATTTATATCATCAGGGTAGTTGGTCTGGGTTACAATTTTGGTGTCAAGGTGATATTATTATAATAAAAAGACTTAGGTACTGTGCCTTCCTTTTCTATTTTATGGAATAATTAGCAAAGCAAAATTCTCCAATGAATCCATCTGGCACTGGGCATATTTTGGTTGGGAGACCTTTTTTTTAAGCGCCTTGACACAAAATGGGTATCACTATGTAATCTGGCTATCTCTGCCTACTGAAAGGTATGTACCAACAATCTTGACAAATATTATTCGTCCATTTATATATGTTTCTAGGTGTGTGTGTACATACGCCGTATACACTTCTAGAGGTCAAGGGACAACTTGAGAGTTCTCTCCTAGTCCCTTGTTGGGATTTTCAATTACTACTTCAGTCTCACTGCTCCTCGTAGATGTGTTTAAACTTGTTTATCTCATCTCTTTGGTAGAACAGTCAGTCATCTGATAATTCTTCCACTTCCTTGAGACTTTTCTAAGTTATTGACTATATGTTTTCTTAGGTGAGAGGTTGTTTGCCATCTCTCTGACACAAGGCTTGCGGGACATTATACCACAATTTTTTTTATTTGACCCTAGAAATGCTTTTCTTCTTGATTTTAGTGTGCTACTTAATTTTCATGAGGTTGTCTATGCTCATGAGTTTCTTTTGCTGTTAACTTTGAACCTTACTCCAGTGTGATCAAATAGAAAGCAATGAGTTGTTTTTGTTTTCCTGTGTTTGTTAAGACTTGCTTCCTGTCTGAAACAGAGAGGTGATCAGTTTTCAAGGAAAGTTCCATGGGCTCCTAAGAAACCATATCCTACAGTGTTTGTATGGAATGAATGTTGTATAGGTGTCTATTTGAGTTCATTTGATCTGTGCTGTTTTTGTTTTCATAATAGGGTGACTTGTCAGTTTGGGACAGCGGGACTGTTGTGCGGGGATTAGCCTGTGACTTCACGTTAGTAGTTTTAGGAAGTTGGGTGTGCAGTTGTGTTTGGGCATATGATTTTAGAATCACACTGTCCCCTTGATGGATTGTCTCCCAGTCAGTGTGAAGTGGCCTTTTATCTTTTCTCAGTAGCTGTGGTTCGAAGCCTGGTTTTTTTGTTTGTTTTTCGAGACAGGGTTTCTCTAACTTTGGAGCCTATCCAGGAACTAGCTCTTGTAGACCAGGCTGGCCTTGAACTCAGATATCTGCCTTCCCCTGCCTCCCAAGTGCTGAGATTAAAGGCATGTGCCACCACCACCTGGCTTGAAGCCCATTTTTATCAGCACTAAAGCTTGTACTTGCTTGGAATACCTTTTACCATTGTTTCACCTTAAGGTGATTTTTGTGGTGAGTTTCATTTCTTGGGGTCAACAAATAGATGATTTTTTTGATTCAGTCATAATCTGTGGCTTTTGAAGGGAGAATTGAGATCATTAATATTCAGAATCATTATGAAAAGGCATGTATTTTGGTGTGTGTGTGTGTTGCTTTTTTCATCTTGTTTTAGCTGTTACTCTAGTGTTACTTATTCTTCCTGTGGCCTTGTGGATAGGCTTGCTTTTTCTCTCCCTTTAGATATCTTCTGGAAAGCTGACCTTGTGGTCATACATTGCTTTAGCCTGCCTTCCTCCCTCTTTCCCTTGTCCCTCCCTCCTTCCTCCTTCCTTTCCTCCTTCCCTTTTTTCCTTCTGTCTGTGTGCAGAAGAAGAGGGTGCCAGATCTCACAGATGGTTGTGAGCCACCATGTGGTTACTGGAACTAGAACTCAGGACCTCTAGAAGTGCTCATAACCCCCAAGCCATCTCTCCAGCCCAGCTTAGTTTGTTTTAATTGTGGGAAAAATTTTTCTTTTTCTTTTTGTTATGACAGATTGTTTTGCTGGATGTAGTAGTCTGCGTTGGCGTTTGTTACTTTCAGAACTGAGACCTGGCTTTGCAAGTTTCAGTTGCTGTTCTGCAACTAATGGGCCTGCTTCCATAAGTGACTTAATGTTTTCGTTCTTGCTGCTGAGATTCTTTATTTTCTTTATTTGGTATTTGAATTATGGCTTGATGAGGGATTTTCTTTTTTGGTTGTCTGTCTGTTGTGAATGTCTCCTGTATCATCTCTTCCTAACGGAAAAATTTTTCTCATCTTTTGAGAATATTTTCTGTGCCTTTAGAACAAGGTTCTTCTCTAAGTATGGCTGTATTCAGTATGTAGCCACTGGTTATGCGGCCATTTTCAGTTAGGTTTATTAAAGAATGGATAAGTTCCCTATCGTCATGGCGGTGAAATAAAGTGAAAATAACATATGATTGCTAGGGCTGTTGTCATGAGACTGCTGATATTCCCACGGCCTCTCCCTGAGATTCTCAGCAATATGTTCTGCTCCAATGGAGATGCGGTCTTAGAAATGCTCGAGTATGTAAGATGTAGAAGTAGATGGGCTTGGATTTTTCAGCGGTGTAGTTGTTCATGCAAATAAACAATAGATGCATTTTAAAAGCTAGAAGATGAATGAATGAATGAACTATTAAGACATTAATCCCATCCAAGGGTTGAAGTGCAAACCTGTAATCCACCACATGGAAGGCTGGTGTGGGAGAATTACAGGTTTGAGGCTCTCCTGGTTTATATTAGCAAAACTGGAGTGAATGAATTTCCCTTTGATTTTAGTAGCCGTATTGTAGGTGCTCAGTGTGAGGCCAGTGGTTAACATGTGGCAGGTAGAAAATAGAGTTGTTCTAGAATTATGGTATACTTGCTTATTTTTGTCTCTGCAATATGTCTTATGACTCATGATAGGGACTGAGTTGCCAGTAGACCTGATGCTACACAGCAAGGCTGCTATGGTCAGAGTCCAAGCCTGCCTCCTGGCATATGTGCCTTGTTTGCATCTATTCCTGTCCTTGTTCAGTGTGCCGCCTTTTTCCTTACTCTGCTCCGAGTCTTGTTAGGACAGGGTCTTTTCTGTGGACCTTGTGTGATTCTTGAACAATCTATAGAATAGTATTTTGGTTCTGTTTCTGCAAATTTTTATTTCATAGGTTTGCATTTTTTTATGTAGTGTGTAGTTTCTCCTTATTCTGTACATTGTGTACTTGAAGTGTATACTTCCAACACTCCGGATTCTGCTAACTATCCCCTTTAAGCTTTAGATAGTCATAGTACTATATACCACTGTTTCTTGTTTAAATGTGATATAAAAACTAAAACAATACTTACTACTGTAATTATAGTCTCGTTTATTATTTCATATGATGCTGGTGGATCAGTGTAGGTGGAAGTTTGACAGCATTCTTTCTAACATGATATTTGAGTATACAAAGTAAATGATTTACCTTATGGAATTTGACATATGAGTATGACAGTGGGACAAACACTAAAATTGACTTTTTCATCAACATATCCCCAGAGCTGGGTATGTTAGTGGTATGCTCTGCATTCTTAACATTGGTCAACCCACTCACTAATAATTGATGTGTGCAAACTGTTTACTTAAGTTTCCAATAGTTCTTTTCTGAATAAGATTTTTTTTAAAAAAAAAAGATGGTTTTCATGAAAGTGTTTCTATTTGTGTGGTTATAATTTTCACTTTTGCTGGACTGCTGGTGTTAACTGTATCCCTTCTCAAGTAGTGTTCATATTAATCCCTTCAGTTGATATGTCAGCAGACTGACACTAAGTGAACTATAAGCGTCAGGGTGGAGGGTTCCTGTGATGAGATCAGGAGAGTAGGCTGTGTAGCAGAGGTTCAGGCAGGCATTGCCAGGGTACTGATACAGGCAGACACGATTGGTAGCAGAGTTGTCCCTAACAGTGTTCTTAGGTTAGGCGTTACGTAAGGGTCACATTGTGGATTTATGAGAGCATCTTTTTAAAGGGTTTTTCAGCACTGAAATATAGAAAGGAGGCTTCAGAAAAGACAAGACCAATTATTGCATTAGATAACAGACAATGTGCTTCAGCCAACTATTTCTGAGCATTGTCTCCCTAATTTTTACATTTTACATGGGATTCATTATTGTGGGTGTTCATATTTCTTAATAGTATAACTGTGCTATTTAGTAGGCAAGTTAATCAAACTAGTCTGTATTTATTTGGTCCACTGTTTGCCTATTGAGTGAACTTATGAAGTGTTTCTTTTCTATTCTTTGTAAAGGCTTTTTACTTCTTAAAGGACTTTAAATACAGAAAGTGGTGTAATAACGTATACAGTAGAGCTGCCTAGTAAGCTAATAGACAATTTCAGAGTTTGTTGGAGTTGATTATGGTTAAATATATTTCTCAATATAGTCCAAATATTTTTCTTTCTGTTGTAGAACAAAATCCAGTCTCATAGCAGAGGAGAATACAATGTTTACAGCACCTTCCAGAGCCATGAGCCAGAATTTGACTACTTGAAAAGCTTAGAAATAGAAGAGAAGATCAACAAAATTAGGTGGTTACCCCAGAAAAATGCTGCCCAGTTTTTATTGTCTACCAATGGTAAGTGTGCATCTTCTGTTTTTAGGCACTCATGTGGCCGTGCCCTTCCAAGAAGGACTTCTGCTTGAGATCTTTGTGAAGAAATGCTAGCAGAACCCCTTCCCTGTACAGAATGTAAAGTCTACTATGTTAGCTTCTTTTATTGTTTACTAGCAAGTTTTAGATTCTAGAGTACCAATTTTTATTTAGCCTGTTAGGTTTTTTGTTGTTGTTGTTTTGTTTTGTTTTGTTTTCTGCCTCCTTTCAGCCTTGTGTTCTTGGGCTGATCCAGAATATTGAAGTGACAATTCCTTACCTGTAGACTTAGAGACAGCAGTGTCTATTGCAGTACTGGTATGAATAAATAGTAATGTGGTACCTTGGCACACAGAGCCAGGGTTCAGAAAATGTTCATTTCCTTCCTCTTCATTGCGAAACTGGGCAGAGGACAGTTTCTGTGCCAGGATGATCTCTGGGAGAGTTTGTTTCCTTGGCTTACATTAGCATATCACTTTCTTCTCACAAAGCCACATGCCTGGAAGAAGTATCTTCTCATATTAACTGCAAGGAAAGTTATTAATGGGGGTTAGAGTTAGGTGAAATGGAGGCCAAAATTTGAAGCCTTGTATGACAAGTTAAAGTTGAGTGATTCTCTCTCCCCCCCTCCCCACCACTTAAAATGTGACTTATTTTATACTGGGACCTTCAGATTAAAGAGATGAGGGTGGTGGTTGGAGATCTGGGTAACATGGCCTATAAAAATTTAGATTAAAACTTTTTTGAGACTGACACACGTTAGCAGAAATCTCATGTTTTCTCATCTAACTATTAATAGAAGCAAACCTTAGCACTTAAACCTTTCTATTTGTGGAGTGTAGACTCATGACTTCTTAGGATAACACAGTGGGAAATATTTAGATCATTAATGATGATTTAGCTTATCCACATTGTACCCTGTAGTCTACTGTGTTAATTTTGGGAAATGCAGCCCATAAAATATTACCACTCATGATTCCATGTATTTGTGTCCTCGGGAACTTATTTTTCTCTCAATTCAACACACACACCGATTTTCCTGTCTTTTCATATGAATGGTTCTTTGCACATATGAGGCAAGGGAGATAATGAGACAGTTTTGCATTTTAGCCTAGGCTAACCGTAGCATCCCCCAGACTGGGGTTGCAAGCTTGGCCACAAGGCCTACCTCATGGCAGTTTGGATTTTTACTTTTTCTAAGTTTAAGGATCAAGTACAGGCCTTCAAGTGTTCAAGTAGAGAGAGTAATGAGGCCCAGTGAGTGCTCAGGACTCCCTCCCTACCTCATTGCAGATCATTAGTTATCATTCACTATGTCCAGGTGCAGCTTCCATAGACTGCCTTTTTTACTCTTCTAGCAAAAGTGTCACTGAATACGCATTTCCTTTAATTGGCTTTGAGATGAGGGTTATAGGTGTAGTCACTATGCTCAACTGTGATGAGCCTTTATTTAGGGAACCATTTGAGGTTGAGGCTAATAGGAACTCCCATGGCTTGGCCAGGGGTATGTAGTCTGTATTCTGTATCTGTAGACAGTGGAGAATATCTCTAAATACTGGATCCCTACATTTGAAAATACTACTTTTACATATTATTTAAGGGCCTTTTTAGTCACTGCTCTATTGTGTGAAGGGATGCCAAGACCAAGGTAATTCTTACAAAGAAAGCATTTAATTGGGGTTTGTTTATAGTTTCAGAGGTTTAGTCTGTTACCATGGTGGGAAGCGTGGCAGCAGGTACGGTGCTAGAGAAGTATTTGAGAGCTACATCCTGATCAGCAAGCTAGGGTTTGTGGGGGAATGGAGGAGAAACAGACTGAGCATGGAATTTTGAAACTTCAGAGCTTACCTCCAGCGATACACTTCCCCCAGCAAGGCCACACTTTCTAATCCTTTTAAACACTGCCATTTCCTAGTGACTAAGCATTCAAATATACGAGCCTATGGGGGGCCATGATTATTCAATTCAGACCACTATAGGCCTGATAGAACAGTTTATTTGTTTGTTTGGGGGGGCATTACTGCTGATTTCTAAGAACTAAGATAACTTCAGGGAGTTAAGTGTATATATTTAAAAATAGAGTTCAATATGACAGTATTAAAAAGGTTAGCATTTTATAAATGTTTGTGTTTGAATATGAAGGGATAGAGGAGGTATAGAAAGAGTAGGACTTGTTACATCCAACGCTTTAAAGATGTCAGCATCCTATACATTGTATGGTCCTTGTTTAATGTGGGATACACCATTAACCCTCGCCCAACATGGATCTTTATACCAATAATCACATTACTTGGAATAGCTGCATTTTGTTTATATTCTTTGAGTGTTTAAAAACAAACAAAATCTTTGAGTCTGAAAGATGGCTCAGTGATTAAGAACACCACGGTTTGATTCCTAGCACCCACATGGTGTCTCACACCATCTCTAACTCTAGTCCCAGGGGATCCAACACCCTCTTCTGAATTCTATGGGCATCCGGCATATACACAGTGCGCCTAATAAGTGTGCAGACAAAGCCCATACACATAAAATGAAGCACAAATATAAAAGCAAACTTTGTTTGCCTCTACTGAGTTCTGCTAATTCTTCTACACCCAGGATACCTGATTACCATGTTGAACAAGAGCCACTAGTAAATAGGTTGCTCTCACGGCCTTTGGCAAGAAAGAAGTTTTAAACTGCAGATAAAGCTACATTTCCACAAAAGAAACTTTGGCACATGGTTTTCCTTACTCTGGCCCTCTGCTTGTAGCAGGAAAGTTATAGAGACCTTGAGTTATTTGTTGGCAGTTTAGGGAAATAGCAAGAGGAGACATTTTAGAAAGAAGAGAGCTTGAGGGATGGTCATTTGCTGAGAGCTATAACATCATGCTCCATAGTGTACTTCTGTGGACTTGATCCTTCTCACACAATACCTGCTGTGGGGCAGAAATGTTAGGTAAAAGTGGATTTTCTGTGGTGATTTATTTCCTGTCTGCCTGCTCCCCAGAGCACTACATTGAGACCATGTAGTTATCCTAGGACTGTTGTCTGAGGTTTCTGGCCTGCCCGGTTACTGTTGTCATTAAGTCTCAAAGAAATCACACAGAGGTCTACATTAATCATAAGCTGATTGGCCCATTAGCTCAGACTTCTTATTAATTCTTATAACTTACATTAGCCCATTATTCTTATCTGTGTTAGCCACATGGCTCAGTACCTTTTTCAGTGGTGTAGTAACATCTTGCTTCTGTGTCTGAACAGGACTGCAGAGGGAGCTTCCCACTTTGCAGAATTCTGTTCTCATTGACCCGCCTCTACTTCCTGTCTGGTTGTCCCACCTATACTTCCTGCCCAGTTGTCCCGCACCATAGGACTTCAGTGTTTTGTGTCTTTTTACTGAAACAAAAATAGTTAAATTTTGAGTTACAAGCTTCACAGTTAAGAAAAAATGTGCCTAAAAAGAATATCCAACCTTGTCAGGGTAGTTTGTTTGCTTTAGGGGGCTTTTTGTTATTGTTTTGCTTTCCCTTGTAAATGTAAAAAAAAGAACACTAACTAATTCATCTCATCTGAAAGTTTGGCAAGGTTCCTTTCTGGACCTTTTATACAGTTGATGGATTTCAGTAGGCGGAAGACAGCTGAGGGGGTGGGGCAGATTTGTCATCCTCATCTTCAGAAGGGGATTTCTAAGCAGATGTCTACATCTTCTGAAGAAAAGAAAGTATGTATATATATGACTTGTATCTGAGCATCTATTTCTTAACTGTCAGATTATGAACTAAATAGTGCATTGGAAACACATAACAGATACAAGAGAATTGCAAACAAGATCTACACTAGAGCTTAGGATTGTAGGTTACTGAAGCTAGCAGTTTCTGTTTACATTTCATTTCTTATCGAGTTGTAAGCAGGCAGTAGAAATAGCCACACTGTCAGTGATATCTCCCTTTAGCAATTGACTTGCACTGCTTTTAAATGACTTGAGCTATTTTAAAGCTAGGATATTCAGTTTTGCTTATGTAAGAACATTACATTTTTAATTTAAAGACAACATAGAGATGTCTTGCTTTTGAATAAAAATACGGTTTTAGAATTATAACAAAGTATAATCATACTGAATCCATAGTAAATAATTACAAACAATACATGGGTAGATTTTATTTCCAAAGAATATAGTGAGCAGGTGTGCCACTGTGCCATGGAGAAGCTTGGCAACATGAGCTACCAACCATAAGTTATGCTGACAGAGTCTATAAGACCTTTGTATAGTGAGCTTAACATTGTGTTCTTCCAAACATCCAAAGAGGGACATTGAGGGACCACTGCTTACAGCTATCTAGATAAAGACAAATGATCGAATTTAAGGGGCAATTTAAATACTGAGGAGGATCGATGACTAAATGCTGTGTGGTGTTTGAATCCTAGAACAGAAAAAGGGAGTTAGTAGGAAACTTGGTTAAATCTAAGTATGTCATTGTTGCTTAAGACGTTGACATTAGAGAGATTGGGTAAAGTGTATATGAGAATCTCTGAAACTTTCTATATGTCTAAACTTAATTCCAAGATGAAAAAAATTTTTTAAATGGGCTATAATATATATCCTTGAATTATAGGAATGTTTGTCTTGAAGGGGTAGAGGGTTTGCATGCGCACACATACCAAGGCAGGGTTCTTTTTGTGAAAGCTCTGACTGTCCTGGAACTAGCTTTGTAGACTAGGCTGGCCTCACACACACAGAGATTTACTTGCTTCTGCCTCCCAAGAGCTGGGATTATTGCACTATTACCTGGTGAGGATTTGCATTTAAACACTGTTTTCCAGGCCTCCATTTGTATTTTGGTAATCACTGATTCAAGAGGAGAAAAGACAAATTTAAAGAAATCATTCCATGCCATCAAGGATTCTGGTCTTCCATAAGATATATTGGGTTGAGATCCAAAGAGCTGGACCTTACCAGTTGAGCTCAGGAATAGACAGTGCTGAGTCCATTGTGTATTTTCTATATTTAACTTTGAATACTGGGCAAGTATGCACACACATGCTTTATTTTACACATGAAACAGTTCTGTTTTTGAAAGAGACCTGACTTCAATTTGATGAAGATGAAAAAGCACATGGGTTCTTTTTGGTGTTACGAGTACTTGGTGTGTGTGTGTGGGGGGGGCTCTTTTAATTTGAGCACCCGAGCCTCATAAGAGTTCTTGGAAATCTGGTTTACAGAGTGAAACCCTGTTTACAAACAAAATAAAAGAGCCTGCCATGACCCATGCCTTTAATTCAGCAGCTGGGAGACAGATAGGAAAAACATTTTGAGTTTGAAGTCAACTTGATCTGTATAGCAAGTTCTGGGATGGTCAGGGGTACCTACTGAAATCTTGTCTCACGAAAGAAAGGGGGTGGGGAGGAAAGTTAAAAATTCCTTTATGTGAATTACTAAATAGCATATTTAAAATAGCCTTTCTATCAGAATTAAAGTAATTCCTGGATTTTTGAAGACTTTCTTAATTCTTTCCCCAGATAAAACAATAAAATTATGGAAAATCAGTGAAAGAGACAAAAGACCAGAAGGCTATAACTTGAAAGAGGAAGATGGAAGGTATAGAGATCCTACTACAGTCACTACATTACGGGTAAGCTGTTAATAAAAATGACTCTCAATCCTAGCACAGCAGGGCAGAGGAAGGTGGATCTCTGTGAGTTTGAGTCCAACCTGGTCTACATGGTGTGTGTTTGAAGACAGCCAGACCTATAAAGAAACCCTGACTTCAAAGAAAGGAAAATGCCTTTGATGGGATTTTTGTCGTTATTTGTATAACCTGGCTTCCAAACAGATACCATTATGGCCTCTGTTCCCGCCCTCACTGGTGGACAGTTTCTTATGGGACATTGCATCTTTCTCATTGAAACAGAAACAGCTCTACCGAGGTCTTACCACTACTAGAGGCAGAGCTAGGACACACATAGACTGTTTAACACTATTCTATCACTAGTTTTGGCTTTCAGAATTGAAATCTTAGTCGTTGCAAAGTAAGCTTCTTTGGAGTCAGAGAGTAGAAATGGGCAGAATCTTAGAGTTTTATGCTAAAGATGCTAAGAATAAGAAACCGGGTTTTCGTTTCCTTCTTAGCCTTGTTAATTCCAACTATAAATGTACTAATTTATGCCAGAAATACTGCTTATAAACTAGTACTGTTTTTTGTTTTTGGACATAGGGGAGTTCAGATTGGTGCTTACACAGAACCAACATCAGTGGCTTTAAAAAACTCATTCTTAATTTATTCTCCCACGTTTCGTTTTCTCAAAAGTAGATTGATGAATTTATTCTCCCACGTTTCGTTTTCTCAAAAGTAGATTGATGGTCTTGTGAATCTGGTTTTTCATATTTTGTTGACAGGTGCCAGTGTTTAGACCCATGGATCTAATGGTGGAGGCCAGTCCACGGAGAATATTTGCCAATGCCCATACCTACCATATCAACTCAATTTCTATCAATAGTGATTATGAAACCTACTTATCAGCGGATGATTTGCGGATTAATCTCTGGCATCTGGAAATTACAGACAGGAGTTTTAGTATCCATTTGACTTGTTTAGTTTGGTGTTTGGTAAAGAAATCATATTGTGTCATATTATATTTATCTTCTCTCTCTCCTTAATGTATTTGAGTTCTTTGCTTTATAATATCTCCATCTTTGTGGCATCTCCTCAGTCCCTCTTTTAAGTAATTAAAACTGAGCAAAAGTTACCTTCATGAGAAAATAGAAAGAAATATCATATGAGCTGATCCCAAAATAGATTTATGGAATTCTAGGGAATTTCTTTTGTGCCCTGAATATTGAATCTGTGTGTTTTGCTATACTTGTAAGATATTTAAGGCTTTAATTGCAAAAATATTAACATTGAAACCTGAAACTGATCTAAAGATTTGTTACTGCCTGTGTGTGATAGTACTGTTTAACGGTCTCAACATTATGCAGACTGAGGCTAGCAGACAAGGAGTTCCAGGCCAACCCAGGCTATATAATTGATGAGACCTCTCAATAAAAAGAAAAAAAATACAAAACACATTTTAACATTTCTGGGTTTGCTTGGGTAGGAGTAGAGTGTCATTAAGATGAAATACTTGATTGTAGTTATTTGCTCTTTTCTGAGTGGAGATTCCTTAATGAAATGCTGTGTAGATATTGTGGATATCAAGCCTGCCAATATGGAAGAGCTCACAGAGGTGATTACAGCAGCAGAATTCCATCCCAACAGCTGTAATACATTTGTGTACAGCAGCAGTAAAGGAACTATTCGGTTATGTGACATGAGGGCATCTGCACTCTGCGACAGGCATTCTAAATGTAAGTCTGTGTCTGCCCTTTGTCTGCCCTTTCTTTAAAATGGTCTACTCAGACTCTGCCGGGCCTGTGTGTCTGTGGGTAGCTTCCCGACTCATGAGACTTCACTTATTCCACAGGAAGCACATAGGGTTGGGGTGTCTGTTGGGGGTGGAGGTGTGGCTAAATTCTCCAACTGTGTATTCAAGCAGAGCTTTCTTTCTTTTTTCCCTTCTTTCTCATCTCTCTTTCCTTAACCTTTGGAACTTACTAGGAAACCCTCCTTCCCCCCATGAAAGGTTCTCTTATCTTTATAAAGTGTTGGGAAAACAGTGGCATTAAAATGGGTGAAGCTGGAGAGATGGCTCAGCATGGCAGCTCACAACTGTCTAATGTTTGCCCCGGTTCTAGGGAATCCAACATCCTTTTCTGGCTTTCTTTAACACTACACACATGTGATACACTTAGATACATGCACATATATACAGCACACCATACACATAAAAAAAAAGGGATGGAGTTATAGAGTTATTTTCTTGTCTTTGGCTACATTAAAAAACAAAAAAGCTCAGATATATACCAGTCAATAAAATCCTCTTATAAGGCACTGGAAGTTTGGATGGGTGAGGTGGGAGGTGGTTTTCAAGAGTGACAATAATAGAGACAGTGCAGCAGATTGTGCACTGAGCTAAAACAGCCCACTTGAGTCTTCCTGTGCAAAATCAGACCCTACATCATCAGGGTTCTGCATTTGTAGTAATCATTCGTTTTCTTAAGAAATTTTGCAAGGAAATGTGTCCCCCAAAGCAGGCAGATTTTTTTTTTAATTAGCCTGTGGTTTTTATTTTCCCCTCTCTTGAGTGATTATTTTAGAAAATTATTTATTCAATCCCAAATATTAATAAACCTTTTCCCCTTTGTTTTCAGTGTTTGAAGAACCTGAAGATCCCAGCAACAGGTCATTTTTTTCTGAAATCATCTCCTCTATTTCTGATGTAAAATTCAGCCATAGTGGTCGCTATATGATGACTAGAGACTATTTGTCAGTCAAAATTTGGGACTTGAATATGGAAGACAGGCCTGTGGAGACATACCAGGTATTCACAGTTTGTTTCTTTTGAAGGGTGTGTGTCTGTGGGCAGTGTATAGAGGTGCTTCTTGCAGGTTGTTTGGAGTGGTACATTTCTCTCAGAGAGCCATGAACATATTACTTTTGCCTTGTTAAGTGTATGAATGTGTTACTCTTCCTGTCTGTGTAAAGTGTATGTTGTCCGTTTAGGATTGCAGGGGAACTTAATTTTGTTATTCATGTGTTTTAATACTGGCCACTTGGTATGCTGCTTTGTATACAGAAGTGTGGGCTGGAGCAGAGCTAGCGAATACTCTCAGCAGAGAATGTACTCCAGGTAGTGTGTAGTATAGAATGACAGTGAACCAGAGCTTAAATTTGACCCACCAAACACGACTCATCTACCTCCTGGCTCATTTTCAAGTTTAAAAAGGCCTGAAATCTTGATTGATGGCTTTTGGATTTGTTTCTTCAGTGCAGAATGTAAGTTCAGTATTCTCTCCTTGTCAGAGAGCTACTATCCTTGACCCATGTCTCCAGTGTCAGAGGTAGGCGGGACTGAGGTACACAGTTGAGCACAGGCCAGCAGAGCCTGTGGACCAGGGCGTAGAAAGCAGTGCTCTGGAGCAGCCTGAGGAAATGTACGGTGCTTACAGAAGTAGGACAAACACACACCTCAAGAATCTAATTTTTCAACTCTCAAAATAAGTGTTGGCAATATCCAGGAGAGCTACTAGTTGTCTTCCCCATGCCTGACACGGAGACGCTAGTTTCAGTCTCCCTTTGTTTGAGGGAGAGACTCTGCACCGTTGTGAATGCTCGGTTTGGTTCCTGTCTTACATGTTACTTGACTTGCCGTTCTGCCTATAGAATTGGATTAACCATTGAGGATGACATCACATTATAACAGATCATCTGAATTTGTATGGTTATCTTGCTGGCCTCTGAGACTGGAGGCTATTTCTGATGTTTGCTTTCTGTCTACTAATCCTGTCCTGGCCCTACATCAGTTTCAATTCTTGAGTGTTAAAATACTTAATGTCATAGACACAAATCTATCAATACTTCAAGTAAAGTGGACATTTACTATGAATGTAGATCCGAGTGTGCTAATATACACATAAAATCCCAGAACTCTGGAACATGATGCAGAGATTGGTTATAGAGTCCCCAAGTTTGATACCAACCTGGTGGCTGTCACTTCTTAAGGTTCTCATTCTGCAAAAAGGGAATGACTGATGAATACTTCTTTTTCCTCTGATCTCAGCAAACACTGGGAAATGTCTTTGTTGGTACCATCTGTGTGGAGATGTGCTATGCTTTTTGATTGCCTTTTAACTAGCAGATTTACTTTGTAGTTTAGCCATCATAGTTTCCAAAATTACCCTTTTTGTGAAATATTATAACTCAAAAAAGAGATACATTTTATTGACTTTATATTGAATAAAAACAGGAAGTGACTCTCAAATGTTTTATCGTGTGTGTGTGTGTGTGTCTGTGTGTGTGAGAGAGTGAGTGTGGTGTGTGCATGCATAGCACACGTGGGAGTCAGAGAATAACTTTGAGGACAGTTTTCTTTAATGTGCATATCCTGGGATTCAAACTCAGGCTTGATGACCAGCATATCTCATAGCCCATTACTGAATTTTTAAATGATATTGGTGAGAGTGAGGAGATGGGAACAGACAGCCAAGAGAAATCAGTGTGTCACTAAGCCAAAAGCCTTGCTGTGCTGTATATTCAATTTAAAATAAAATAGTACTTAAAGGGAAGGAAGCAGGTCAGCAGTAATGTAATGAGTGTCAAGAAGTGAAAATTAAATTCCTCTGCAACATTCTTTTGTTTGTGTCTTATCTACCATTTTCAAATACCTTCTGACTTAGATGTCTCAGTTACTGTTTGATTTATGTGAAGAAACACCATGACCGGGGCAATTTACAAAAGAGCATTTAAAATGGGTTGTGGTTGCACACACCTTTAATCACAGTACTTGGGAGGCAGTGCCAGGTGGATGTCTTCAGTTTGAGGGCAGCCTAGTTTACAGAGGGAGTCCTAGGGCAGCCAGAGCTACACAGAGCAAACCCTGTCCCCGGGGGGAAAAAGTAAGGAGGGCATTTAATTGGGGTCTTGCCTACAATTTCGTCGTGGTGGGGAATATGGGCAGCAAGCAGTCAGGCATGGTGTTGGAACAGTAGCCGCAATAAACAAACACATAAATAAATAAAGGCAATATCACCTAATCCTTCCTAAATAGACACCAATTCTGGACCAAACATCAGATATATGAACCTGTGGTGGGCTGTACGTTCTTCTTTGAATAATCACAGGTGTTTTGGTTAAGATTGTCAGGGTTTATTACAATGTCTGGAAAGGTGGTTTTCCTCAGTTGTGCCATGGAAAATATGCCTGCCTAAGAGTATGTGAGGACTAGTATACACACTAGTCTGTATATATACTCTCTAAATGGAGCTTTAGTTATTTTCCTGATTTGAAAAGAGATTGAAATAAACTAAGCATGTTTATTTCTCCCCAGGTACATGAATACCTCAGAAGTAAACTTTGCTCACTGTATGAAAATGACTGCATATTTGACAAATTTGAATGTTGTTGGAATGGGTCTGACAGGTAAGGAAAGAAACTTGCTATGTGTTCATCCCTCTTGTCACACACACTAGGTAAAAATATGACCTCTTTTTTTTTTTTTAAACAGAAATTATGAGTCATTTTCTTCCAAGTACTTTTAAAATAAACCTAGTTATCATGGATAGAGCTATAATGACAAAACCAAAGTATTGATTTTCAAAGTAAATGCAAAGCATAAGAAATCTATACTGGGGTTATCATTTTAAAATCTTTCCCCAATTTTTATGAGCCAGATAAATGACATTGCTAGCCAGGACAGTGTGTGCCTGTAGTCCCAGCTGAGGCAGGAAGAATGTTTACACTCAGAAGTCCAAGGTCAGCCTGAGTAACTCAGACCATGTTTCAGGAAACATTTATATCAAAAATCACAACTCTGATGTGCCAACAGTTAATTAAGTGGTGGATTTTGTTTTTGATTGCTACTCTAGTGTTTGGGCAGTGTTGTACTTCAGTGTCTCTTACCCCTCCACTCATTTCACAGAAGTTATTGCAAGTGTTATCATAAGCACTCACTCCGTACTGTATTCCGATTAAAGCAAAGCATAGCTTTGAAATTACTATAAGCCATATCTAAAGCAATTACAGGTGCTTTATTTGGCACTAGTTGAATTTAAAATACTTGATATGATTCAGATTTCTTGGTGTTAGATGTTACAGAGAGCTCTGGAACTTGGGATGCTTGTCTTTTATCTGGTTTTTAAGTTATAAGTACCCGAGTTTTACATGAGGCCCAATAGTAAGCTGGTTAACTACACTACTCAGATGCCTGCTGCAGGGAAAGCACTTGTGCTGTCATTGCTAAATGTGAGGCCAGTAAGGACAGATGTCAAGAAAACGTAGTGATGTGTAGGTATGACATTTTATACAGCCAGTTTTCCCCATGTCTGGTAGCTGTATGGTGATTCTCAACATTAAAAATACTTTCTGAGGGCAGACAGGGTGATGGATGTAGCAGGAAGGCTTCCAAACAACGACCTGAGTTGGATTCCTGGTACTCATGGTAAAAGGAAGAACCAGCTTGTACAGGTTGTCTTTTGACTCTGTGTGTCACACACACTCACACGAAAGGCTTTTGGGATAATTCCTATCAAATTACGTATTGAAAAATTATTTTTCAAACTATTTCTTTTGATGTTTATCTTAATTTTATGTGTATGAATGTTTGCCTGTATGTCTGTGTAGCATGTTTGTGCTTGGTGCCCACGGAGGCCAAAACAGGGCAGGAACTTAACTGGAACTGGAGTAACAGATAGTCGTGAGCCACCAAGGCTTGCTGGGAACAGATACCTGGGCATCTATAAAAGCAGAAAGTGTCCTTAACTACTAAACCCTCCCCAACCCCCTTACCACTTCCTAAAGGAGAAAGACCCCCATCCGCCACAACCATGGCCTCAAAGCTAGTTTTGGTCAGTGCTGTCCAGTGCTCAGAGACTCACCAAGTGGTCTCAGTCCTTTCGTGGCAGAGTAAAACCTGCTCTTGTCTTAAAGTGACATGGCATCATAACTTGTTCTCTTTATTCTAAAAGAGTTCTTCAGTTTCTTGGCTTTCATAATCTGGGCATTTTGTGTTACAAAATAACAGTTATTTTGTAGGTTGTGTGAGCATTGCATTTGCTCATTAAATAAAGATTATATACAAACTTTACAAACCTGGATCGAGGGGCTACCACCAACTTAGTGTGAATCAATTTTAAAGAAAAACAGTTTTATGGTTGTCCGCGCCATGCACCATCCTGAATTTGATTGTCTTAATTCAGATAAGTTTAAAGAAGTTGCTTCCTGCAGAGTGCTAGTCCACGTTGCTCACTGATTTGTTAAAGTAAACAATCCCTTGTTAACAGTTTTATTGGGTATTCTACCTTTACAGCGTTGTCATGACTGGATCCTACAATAATTTCTTCAGAATGTTCGACAGGAACACAAAGCGGGATATAACTCTAGAAGCATCACGAGAAAACAATAAGCCTCGCACAGTTTTGAAGCCACGCAAAGTCTGTGCAAGCGGTAAACGAAAGAAAGATGAAATAAGTGTTGACAGCCTAGACTTCAACAAGAAAATCCTTCATACAGCTTGGCACCCCAAGGAGAACATCATTGCCGTAGCAACTACAAACAATCTGTACATATTTCAAGACAAAGTGAATTAGGCTGGCATTCCTAGCAGAGGAGCCACTTCCTGCTTAGTGAGATAGTTGAATCTAGCATTCATACCTATAAGAGAGCGGTCCATTGTGGCGCCCCTTTCCAGTGTTTGACAGTGTGCCATTCGACAACACATTTGATAGCCACATGGAGAAAGCTGTGTGGATGCCTCCCGGGCTGTTCTCCATGTCTGCTAGCCATTTAGGGAAGGGAAGGGCACTTTTAATTTAATGACTTCTTGCACCATCTTGCCTGGTGGACTGGACTGGACTGTGTCAGCATTGTTGTACTCCACTTTTTATGCCTTCCATTGTGATGACGTCAAACACAGTGAACGCCTTCAGTCATGCTATGGGATTTGTGTATCCTCATTACTGTATCATTTGTGGGGTACACCCCTCTTTTTTAAATTAAATACAGCTCATTCTTACTGTGGCTTGTAGCATTCCTCCTCTCTGGCCTCCTGGACTCTTCCCCCTCCATCTCTTACCCTTGCCCTTTCCACCTGGTCTCGGTGGTGGCATATCAAAAAAAGGAAGAACTAAAGAAAGCACACAAAATGAGTCAGTCTGGGGTCAGTGGTAACGGGGGTATATGTTGCGAACAAATGTTTTAATAACAGTTGGCTGTAATCACTCCTTGCCATGTCTGGCACTGAAAATAAGGAAAAAAACCTACTACTGAATAAAAGTGACAAAGAATGGAGAATCTGGTTTTCTTTTTCTTTTTCTTCTACCTCTTTAAACCACCAATATTTTGTGTCATATCCTTGGGTGCCGTGAAATGAAATGGGTTTCTATTGTCTCCTTGGTATATTTATGAACTATTTTTAACAAGTGTTCTTTTCCATGGAGCCTCAGAAAGAGATATGGTTCTGTTCACCCATATGTTGAACATACATTATTGTTAAGGGTTCACAGTCTAGAGATGCTAGAGGGTTCTATGTTTTGTGTCTGTGCTTAATTCTTCTGTTAATGAAGTTGCTGTAAATGAGAACCACGGTTGTAGAGCTTCACTTTGAAGTCTTCTTCCAGCGCTTAATTTCATTCTGCCTTAGGAAATACCAAGTAGACAAGCTGACTTTTCTCGCTGTTGTGGCACAGCAGAGTGGAATTCCATCTGGAAGTAACTTGGTAGATGAAACCCCATGCTGCACTGAAGAGCTGTTTTGTACTGCTTGCTGTGGAATCAGAAGGAATTGTATTTTGCCATAGATACACCTTTTCTTTTGGTTTTCCAAAGGTATATTCGGGACAAGCTTCTAAAGGTACAGTGCTGCACGGACTGCAACAGCTACATAGTACCACATGTATGTCTACCCACATTGTCCCAGTGCTGAGGCCCTAGCCAAAGATGGAGAGTGCCCCAGTTAGTGTGGAGCTGCAGGAAGCTTTATGGAGAGAGAATGGACTTTATTTTTAAAAGATGAATGAGCAGGCATTTATATGAGAATGGTAGTATATTTTGGTTGAACGGTAATATAACAATGTTGAATATAGAGGACTCTGCGTGCTTATATATTTCCACTGCCTATTGTTCTTCAGTAATGAAAAATGATTAAACAACTCCACAGTTCCCTCTACACTTACATAAATATGTCTTGTACGTTAACATTTTTAGCACACAGGAGAAATTTTATGTAATAAAGTTACTGTATCTTTTGGACTTAAATTTGAATTTGTATTTAAACAATGATGGTATGTCTGATTCTTAATGGCACTTTTACTAATTTATTTTGGGATCTTGGGTGCATTCCTAGTCTTGTTATTTATTCCTTTGGCTTTCAAGTAGATAGTTGTCCACCAGAAGGATCAACTTTACTCAGTTTTGGTTGGGCAACTTTACGGATCTTTTGGGATGGCGGTTTCCCTACAGTTTGGCCTTGAAGAAACCACCAAGCAGTTCTTAGGAACTTTTTTTTTAAATTATTCAAATGGTAGTCTTGTTATTCTCATTCATAACTATAAGGGTTAGTTTTATATAGTCAAAGAAAACCTACTTGCCAAACTTAAGATGCTTCTATCAGGATTGCTATTATAAACTATTGTAACATCTTAAGTGGCTTTTTAATTTCTTTGGTGTAGCAAACTATAAGCCCAGCCACTCATTTTATATCGTCAACTTTTATTAATAAAAATTACAGAATAAACATAGTCTTGTCAACTTGTTTGTATTTTCCTACTCTTTTAAAAACCAGTACACATATTTTATCCTCTTTCAGTGTTTTTGATGCTAGAATGGGCGAGCTCTCATTCTGTTACGACAGAATTCACTTGGTGGCTGGGCAGTAAGAAGAGGTAGTTTATAAACCTACAGTATACTTAGGTAACTAACTTCTAGGTATTAAGTGGTATAACCCTTCTTAAAATTAAATTTCTGTTAAGGGTTTTTTAATCCCCAAATCTTTCTTACACATGAGACTTAATCATGGCTAGAGTTTTTTGTTTTAATTTTATGTATGAATGTGGGTGCACATTTGGCACAGAATGCGTGAGAGGTCACAAGACAGCTTGCCGGAATTGGTTCTCCTTCCACTGTGGATTTTGGGACCAAACTGCAGGTCATCAGGCTTTCACAGACCATCCCACCAAACCTAGAGAAATACAAAAAATCATTTGTAACTTCTCAGACTTTCTTTTTAGAAAATTGTGTGCATGTAGAGCTAAGTACTACTGACAAAAGCAATTTTGGTAAAATTTAAACCATTTGGTTATTTAGAAATATCCATCTTCTTTTCTACCCAACATGATTTCAAATAAAAATAACATCCACTGTCACCCTAGCCCCCATAAAGAAAATTGCCTGCTGTCTCAGTGGGTAAAGGCATTCAGAACCAAATGTGATGATTTGCGTTCCAGCTAGGAACAGACAGAAGTGACCCGTTTGTCCTATAACCTCCACACCTGCATGTCCACTCCTTCAAACACATTAACATATATATTGGGTCTGATGTGGTGCACACCTTTAGTTCCACTACATGAAAGACATGTAGGTAATCTCTGGATTCAAGGTCAGCCTAGTCTACATAGCAGATTCCAGAGCTACATATGGAGACTTTGTTTTTGTTTTTCAAATGAAGTGTGTTCTAAGTAATGAATCTTAAAAGTTTTCCTCACTATTTGAGAATCTGTCTCAGGTTCTGTCAACATGGAGAGTTGAAACCATGTAACCAAGTTTCTTATATAGCACTCTTAATCAACTCTTGGCAACTGCCTTACTTTATCTTTTATCTGTGCATGGGAATAGAAACATTGCACCTGAGCAGTTAGGTGGGGTGTCTAGTGAGTCCATAGAGCCTGGCAGTGTTCTCTAGTGCATAAGATACTAATTTGGGTTTCAGTGTTTCTAATGGCATGAGGCTGTGTGACCCACTAGCCCTGTCTGTGTTTGAATTAGACACTTTACAGACTTTAAGTTAACATAAAATGTCCCTCCATAACACCTCACTTCTCAAATATTAAACCGCAAAACTTCGAATTCTACAAAGATTTCTCCAAGCATAAAAAGACTTAAGAAATATGACCAGCAACAGGTTATTTGGGTAATTTCCCACTAGGTGGCAATAGTTAAATTTTGACCTGTCTTTGTGGTATGGTTTTGAAACTATAGATAGGAGAGTTAGGTTTCTGATCTAGGAGAGACCCATTAAAACCCAAATCAGATGAAGGGCAAATCTAAAGGGTGCTCGTGTCCAGATGAATGCCCTCTTCACTGCCACCCTGTAGTAAGTGGAGACCCTGAAGCCATCTGGTGGCTGGAATGTACCAGCCTCGGGGAAAGAACTTAGTATTTGTCCCTTGTACTGTGTTAGTATAGTAGCGATATGTGTAAATATGATTTCCTTGGATAGTTAAAAAAAAATCCCTTAGCAGAGAGGCCATTCACTCACATGTTCTTAGACTTGTCCTTCTATAGGAACTGGAATCATCCAATCATATTGTCTCCTTATTTCTCTACCTGACCTCTTCAGCAGATTCCCATGTTGAGAATTTTGGTTTGGGACATGTTTTGAACTCATGATCTTGTTTCTTTGTCTTCCAAGTGCTTGAATTACAGGTGTGTGCCATCATGCCTGACTTTCAAGTACTTTCTGTGTACAGATTTTTCTTGTCTACACAACCTCACTTGTGTGCATGCTCCAGGGCCAGCTTCAGTTAATTGATTTTTGTTTTTATTTTGCAAGTAGAAAATACTGGAATAGTATGTATGCCAGTCTCAATGTTTAAACTATTAGTGTACGGTGCTAGAGACAGAATTAGTACCTTACAGGAAACAGCCATTTAAGATCTGGAGCATGTTGTTAAAAATACTTTTTAAGATGCCAAAATCTGGATCATAATTATATCACCCATGTTTTCATACTCATTAACTGCACACACCTGTGTTTTCATTTTTATCAATTTGAGAAAATAGTGACATAAATTCAGTATAGTTGTGCAGACCTATAATCACAGTAGCCTTGGAAAGAGGAAGGATGATCAGGAGTTCAGTCATCCTTGGGTTTGTAGGTTTCAGACCAGCCTGGACTACATGAGCCACTATCAAAAAGGTGGGGCGAAGGCTGGGATGATGGCTCAACTGTAGAGTATTTGTTACTTTTGCAGAGGACCTGGTTCAGCTTCTGCCACCTACGTGGTGGATTGTAGCCATCTGTGATCCCAGTTCTAGAGCAACCAATGTCCTCTTGCCTTTGAGACAGAGCATGCACATGGTACACATACATACATATAAGCAAAACACCCATTCACAAAAAAAATCATAAGGCAGAAAGAAAACAATGTCACTCTTGTGTGTTGGATAGACCTTCATAGGATGTGCTTCATAAAGTGCATCCTCTAAGTATGAGGTTTGTTTCTTTTCATTCCTAATGGAGTCTTTTGAAAAAATGGACCTTAGCCGGGCAGTGGTGGTGCACACTAATCTCAGCACTCGGGAGGGAGAGGCAGGCATATCTCCGTGAGTTTGAGGCCATCCTAGTGCCAGGATAGGCTCCAAAGCTACACAGAGAAACCCTGTCTTAAAAAACCAAAAGGAAGAGAGAAGAGAGAAAAGAAAAATGGGCCTTTATGCTAATTTTATGTTTATTTATTTATTTGAGGAAAGAGGCATGCCTGTGGAGTAAAGAGTACAAGGTGAGGGTGTCCTGAAATATATACTAAGTAAGTCTCAAATGCATAAACAGTTTAAACAGTGAGATTAGCCCACAATGAGGAAAACCAGAAAAATGTTCTTATGCTTGTATTCCTTTATAACACTATGTAGAAAAGAGACCTAGAAGTTGATGCTTATTACATTGTGTGTGTGTGTGTGTGTGTGTGTGTGTGTGTGTGTGTGTGTGTGTATAGGTCTGAGGACATGCTGTGGGAGTGGGTTCTCTCCTTTTACCATGTTGGCCCTGGGGCCTGAACTCAGGTAGTAAGTGCAGGTATCTCACCAGAGGAAGATTTTTTTGTCTTTAAATGCACATAAGTGTTTGTCTGCATGTGTGTCTGTGTACCATGTGGGTGTCTCATTCCCGAGGCCAGAAGACAGCATTGAATCCTCTGTGAGCCATTGTGTGGATGTTTATCTGAGTCCTCTACAAGATCATCTAGCGTGCTTAACTCCTGATGTCCCTCCAGGCCCTGAACAGGAGTTCTTAAACCTCAGAGCTTATTCGTTTTTTTTCCTCATATGGACTATTTTTGGATGTCTTTTAAAATTTT